CTGTGCGTATCCACAGCTAGAACCAATGTTAACATTTTGTTATATTTGTGTCAGATTTTTTTTTAAGATTATTTATTTATTTATTTATTTGACAGAGATCACAAGTAGGCAGAGAAGCAGGCAGAGAGAGAGGAGGAAGCAGGCTCCCTGCTTGAGCAGAGCCTTATGTGGGGCTCGATCCCAGGACCCTGAGATCATGACCCAACTGGAAGGCAGAGTTTTTAATACACTAAGCCACTCAGGCGCCCCTGTGTCAGATGTTTTTTTAAAAGATTTATTTACTCATTTGAGAGAGAGAGAACGCGCGCGCGCGCGCGCACACACACACACACACACACACACACACACACACTAGCAGTAGTGGGGGGAGGGGCAGAGGGAGAGAATCTTCAAGCAGACTCTCTGCTGAGCACGGAGCCCAAAGCCCGCCTCAGTCCTGGGATCCATGGGATCGTGACCTGAGCAGTAACCAAGAGTCAGACGCCCAGTCCACTGAGCCACCCAGGTGCCCCCCCCCCAACCCCGTGCCAGCTATTTTTAATGAATGAAAGGAAGGAAGGAAGGAAGAAGAAAACGTGACACAGAAAAATGAGTTCCCATTATCTACACCGACCCCAGGCCCATTTCCTAGATTCCATCTCCAGGAGCAACCGCTCTCATCATTTTAGAGCTATCCTTCTCATATCCGTTGGCAAGCTTTCAGCTACGAGGAGAATTCCCTTCAAAGCCACTCAGTACAACTCAGCAGCTCGGCAATGTCATAAAGGAGCAAGGTTCTTCCCTCTCCGCACTGCCATTATACTGTACTTCCATCATCAGTGGCATCCTGCTGGCTGCGGTCACAGACTTTGTATTTCTACACGGGAGGTGGAGAGCTCATCAGGACTCTTGCTGGAATACTGTGTTTCTCATTTCAGAATATATTCTCCGAAAAGGTAATGAGCGATTTAAAGATCGCTCACCTCCAGCTGCTGTCCATCCCGGGCTCCCCTCCTGTCTTCCTTCGGATCCATCTTGGGTTCTGGTGGAATTGTTGGTTTTTCATTATTGGCAATAGCTTGACTTGTGTCTCCCAGGGGCTCTGGAGGCTCCTGTTCCTGGCTGTGAAGGGCTTCCATAACCTTTGCTCAGAATGTCACCATGATCTTCAGCTTCCTAAACCTGATCTGCTCTCTGAACCACTCAGTCGCCAGTGGCACCAGGATCTCTGGCCATATGGATAAGCGGGTCACCAGGGGCAGTGCCCTGGGCATGGTGGCGGCCATGAGGGCAGAGGGCGCTTCCTATACCAACGTAAGGCGGACCAGCAAGCTAGGAATGCCTTCTCTTTGTCATGACAGGGGGACGTTAGCAATAAAGAGCATCATAGAACGTACACCACACTGGGAAAATCCCCAAATGCCATCATTTTCCCCACCGTGGGGACTTCCAAAATGGCCGACACGTCAGTTTCAGTCCAGCTAGTAGAGTTACCCAAATTTATATGGTTTGAAACGAGATGTATATATCCTAGAGGACAGGGGCTCTGTTTACATTCCTTCCCCAGTCCCTAGCAGTAACGGAAACTTTGCCACATCAGTGAACACATCAGTGATGTAGACAAAGGGAGTCCTGGGATGGATTTCTGGCCCCTCAAGCCTCCCTGAGCAGGGAGTGGCAAACTGCCTGCCTGGGAGTATGAGGACATGCCCCCATCCCCGGGCAGAGGAAAACTAAATGGACACCCTTTTTCTGACGTTTCTTCTGTGCTGTTATGGAAATCATAGCTAAGTTTTATTTTCGGGTTCTACTACCCAAATCACACCCATGAAGGTGTTCTCTGAGGGGTGGCATTGCTGTGGATACAAAACTTCGAGCTGGCAGGAGTGGCTTATCCCCAGGTGTCAAGGAAAAGGGAGAGCGGCATAACAAATAGTTGTTTCAGTTCCTCCCTTCAAATATGTTGTGATGGGTTCATTCCTCCAAGAAGAGGACCAAGGATGGGGTCAGATATTGCAAGCGGGTGTCTTACTGGGGAAAATGCTTGGGCAGGAAAATCAGAAGGGAGCCAGAGGAGGCTGGGCGAACCATCAGGCTCAAGAGATCCAGTGCTTGGAAGAGGAAACAAAGGAAGGAAGGTGGGATAAGAATGTTAAGAAAGTTTTGATGAAGCCAACGGGAAGTCCTTGATCCCCAGCTGCCCATGAGGGAAGCTCTGTGTCTCTAGGGAACTGGGGTCCTTCTTGTCTTCGAGGCACTCAGTCATTGTCCGGGATGAGCTAGAAGAAAACAAAACTCTTGGTCACCATCACCAATGGATCCCTCCTGTGGATCGTGGGGTTCCACATGTATTTCTCCCTGATCCCACTTTGTAAAAGCACCCCCACCTTCTTCTAGTAACTGAGCAGGGTACTTCTCTAGTAACTTCTAGAAACGGATTAGGGTCAGGGAAGGGAAGTGACTCCTCTTCTTGCCTGTTAGTTCCAAGAACAGGGAACCCAAAGTGACCTGGTAACAGCCGCAGCTTAAACTTTAAGGGGACCCTGGATGTGTCCCCTGAGAAGAGTGCGCCCCCTTTGGGGACAGGGACTTCTCACCCTGCACAGCTTGGAGTGGTAGTGGGAGCGGGCGGGCGGGGAAGGAGGAGTGCGCTGAATGGGGGAAGATTTGAATACCCACAATGCATTTTGGCAAACATTATCTAATTGCATTGTGGGTAATCAAATCCCCAGGCCAGGAATCAGGAAAGGTTTCAGCAGAAGGTGGACTTGATAACCTCGGATCACCATGGCTGGGAGCATTTCCAGGCCAGATTCTGCTCCTGTCCCTCTCTTGGCCTCAGTTTTCTCATCTGTAACAAGAGGAAAACGCCCTCTAAATTCTAATGTTCTGGTACTCGGGTACTAGACACAGGAAGACATTTCCTTCCCTCTTTCTCCCTCTCTAGCCTCCTGCTTCTGTCTGCCTCATAACTTAAACCCCTCCATTAGTCTGTTTGGGGCAATAAGGCCTTACCAGGAGAGGTGTAGAACAAAGGGTGAAACTGGAAACTCTGGACTATAGGCAGGGCATGGAGTGGGGAGAGAGGAAAGGCAGACAAAGAAAAGAAACCTGGGGAGGGTGGGGATAATTTGAGTGGAGAACAAAGAAGAGGAGAAAGACATTCTGTGCAAAGAAAACCAAGGGTAGAAGGCATGAAAATCTGAGAAAGCACATATTCCAGGAACACTGGCTAAGGTCAAGGCTTAATGGAGCAGAGGGGACCTCATTAGGGAAGTGTAGAGGCCCCAAAGGCTCCGGGGTCTGAACACCAGGATAAGGAAGTTAGATTGCTTGCCCTGGAAGTAACAGGACATCCTTGGCCATATTATGGAGAGAAGCAACCCAACCCACATAGTGCTTTACAGAGCTGATGGTCCTCCAGTACTTGGATTCTAGAACAAAAGCGTCTAGACAGAAGCAGGAAGGAGAAAAGCAGGGAACTTAGGCAATACTCTCAGAAGCAGAATTTGCAAAATGATGGCCCATGGTCTAGATTGGGCCCCAAAACACATTTCATTTGACCCATTCACTATTTCCAAACTTGGGGATGGGTTTCGAATACCAGAGAATTGGAAGACACTATGTCCGAATATGGATTTCCTGCTTCTCTTGGAAGATCATCTGTCCCTACAGGCCCATGATGCTCCAGTTTGCCGCATCTCACCACTTCCTATCACCTGATACCTGACCCCAGTCACTAATTTATGCGATCCATAGATCTTCGAGTCTGCCATCCCTTGTTTTAAAGATCTAGACACAGTCAGGGTGGTTGTGAAGAGTATCCTGGGTGGAGAAAACAGTCTGAACAAAGGGAAGAAACAGGGAAGGTGCAGGATGTGTTGGGGGCTTTTTCATTAATGAAACAGTGTGTCTGGGGTTGCATGGATGAATCTGAGAAGAAAAGCGAATAAGGCATGGGAGCATGAGCAGTCCCTATCTCAGCTCCACCCTCTTCCTTCTGAGCCCCCAAACACCAGCATCAGACAATGCTCCTTCCTCACACCCAGGTAGTGCCTCTGCACACTTCTCCCTCCGTTTGGAATCCCCTTTCCTCTCTTCTCTCTGGTCAGCACTGTGCATATCAGCTGCCTCCCAGATTAGTCGCTGACTGTTCACAGAGGGGGTCCCAAACACGACCTGGACTGGATAGAGCCCCCAAGGCCCCAGTTCACGACCTCTTCCCTGAGTAGACTGGTAGTTTTCCGAAGTCTTGCTCAAAAGAGAATGGATGGATGGATGGATGGGCGGACAGACAGGACATACTGACGAATGAATGAACGCACACACGCGATTGCAGAGCTAGGCTGTTTCCCTCCCTGAAACGGACACATGCTCCGCCCCACAAGAACAGACTGGGACAGTCTGGGGCAGTCTGGTCCCGCAGGGGCCAGGAAGCTGGAGCAGGTGACCCTCTCAGACTCCCCCGAGTCCTCTCTAACCTCGTTCTCGCCCCCTCGTGGGCTCTGACCTAGAAAAGACGGGGGTGGGAAGATGGACAGGGAACCCACGGGCGCTAGGACCCTGCGCGGCCGGAAGGCGGGGTGGGGGCGCCGCGCGCTGCTCCTCCGGCGCGGGGAGAATCTGCGCCCCGCGGCGCGCGGCGGGAGGGCGCGGCGGGAGGGCGAGCGCGCGCCGAGGGGAGTGCGCGTGCGCGAGAGCGCGCGCCAAGCGGGGCGGACAAAGGGGCGGGCGGCGGCGCGCGAGCCGGAGGGCGGAGCCGCGGGCCAGGCGGGCAGGTGCGCGCGGGCCAGAGGGCGGAGCCGCGATGCAGCGATGGAGCGCTGCCCGGGCGGGCGCCGGGGCCGGGGCCCGAGCACCGGGCGGATCGCAAGCGGGAGCCGCAGCCAGAGCCCGGACCAGGCCGGGGTCTGGGACCGCAGGGCCGGGCTGCTCGTAGCGGTGGCAACGGAGCCCCCCAGCGGCTGAGGGGCTACCTCCCAGTTCCTGCCGGTGGCCGGGACTCAGCAAGCCCCCGCAGCCGGGAAGCGCGGGGATCCCCCCCCCACCACATCCAGGACCCAGAGACCCCCAGGAAAGCGGGAGACCCCTCCAGATCCAACAGAAAGCGACTCCCCAGCTGGGGAAAGCGGAGACTTCCTCGGTATTCAGAAGAGAGTGACCTCCCTACGGTACGGCTAAGACTCCCCCTCTTCGATCTGCCCCCCCCAAGACCTAGAACGCAGTGCCCCCCCCCCGTCCGGGATTGCTGGGACACCCCCACCCCGGTCAAGAACCTGGTCGTTACAACTCCACACCTCAAGACACGAAGACCCAGCTCAGAACGCCCCTAGATCAGGGGGTTCCTACACCCCCCAATTCCGGTACACAGGAACCCCAAATCTAGGGAACTGAGAACAGCGCGAGAGCTATCCCTCACCAGCAAGAGGCCTCGGGGCCCCCCTCAAAGCTCCAGGACTCGGGAGCCCTTCGCATCCCACCCTATGGTTGTGGCGCCCTGAGCCCCCCCCCCCCGGGCCGGGCTGACGGAAACCGACACGGCGCCCAGGCCCCCTGCCGCGGCGTCCCCGCGGCCCCAGCCCAGGTAAGCCGGGCCCAGGTGAGTGGCCGCCGAGGTCCCTAACCCTGCAGGTTGGGAAGGAAGTACTGGGTGCACACTGCCCCCTCCCCAGCGTCGCCATGGAGCCGAGGCTGAAGGACGTCTCTTTGTGTCTCGCTCGGAGGAGCCGCCCCCTCCTCCTCTCCCTTCCCCCACCTCACACCCTAGCCCTGGGGTTTGGGCGCTGCTCCCGGTTCCCAGGGGGGAGTAGTGGTAGAGCCCCTTGTGCCATGGAGAGGGAGGGAAGACGGTGGAGAGCCCCCCCCCTTCTGAAAACTGTGAGCCAGAAGCTGTTGGACTCTGGGTCCTTGGAGTATACATACCCCCTGGCCCCACCAAGGGCAGGCTGAGTTCTCAAGTGAAGTCCCCCCTGGGAAGGGAAGATTTGGGGATGTCCACAGGTGAGGGGGCCTGTGGCTGTGGCCCTAGGGTGAGGGCCGGGGTTTGGGGTGTGTGTCTTTGTCTGTGAGAGGGCAGGGAAGGGGTGTGTTTGAGAGAATGGGTGGGAATCCTGTATTTTCTCTGTGATTCCATAGCCCCCCACCCAGGCTACAAGGAGGGGGTTCCCCCAAGTCATACTTTGTATGTTTTGCAGGAGAGGGCAAGCTCTTTCCAAAGTGAGGCAGTGGTTTCTGGGGAAGAGAGGTAGTCTGGACGAAGAAGCCATTTCAGGTCAGGGCACCTTTCTGTCCCCATGTGCCCCATGGCCGGCAAGCCCAAGACCTTCCCTTCTCCTGACCTCCATAATTCCCAGGGCCAAACCTCAGGTTGGATCTGTGTGTCCTGGACAACCAAAGGACCATTCTAGGTCCTTGCTTTAGCTTTCCAGTCTATACACAGCAGTAACCCAGCCTGGCCCTCAGGGAGGTCCTGATCCCCAGGCCTCACAGCTCATGCGAAGAGGAGAGGCCCAGGGGATGTTATACCCTGAAATTCTGGATCAGAGTTCCCGAGAAAGGTCTGGACCTTGCTGAGGGAACACTCCGGGCCTCTGGGGTTCCCCCAGTCTCTTCTCTCTGAGCCCTCCATAGGCAAGCGGTGATGCTGGGGAAGGCAGGACTTGGTACAGGTAGCCCCACTGGGAGTTCCTTTGTTCATTTATTTACTCAACAAACCTTTAGCTAGTGTCTGTGAGGTGCCAGGCTGTGGACTCAAGGGCTTTTTCCCCCACATCATCCTGATTCTCTTTCCTGATCTCTCCGGGTCAGGAGACCCTGGGCTGCTCTCAGGCCACTCGAGGTTGGGCCAGTGGAGGTAGGCCTGGTCCTACTGGTCAGGTCTAGCTGACCAGTCCTGACCCCACACTTGCAACCCCTGATCATCCTCCTGCTACAGACTTGGGGGCCCTGAGCCTGGGTGCCTGATCCCTCTTCTCCCCCATTCTCAATACCAAGTGCCCCTACCACACCTGCTGCTAGCATTGACCCAAGAGAGAGGATGTGACCAGCAGGAGAAGAGGTTGGGGGTGCTGCAGGCCAGACCTCTGGCAGTCCCTCCTGCAAATTCAAGGACAGTTGAGGCAGGTGCCATCAGCCCAAGCTATAGGGAAGCCAGCTGCTCTGAAGACTGGGTGACCTTGGACAAGCGTGTGGCATCTCCCAGAGATAATGACAGAGAGTAAGCCACTCACTCTGCAGTGTAGAGATAGATCACAGTTGTGCCACGGGGAGCACCCAGGTGTGTCTTCTCCCTCCGTGAAGGAGTTCATTTCCGATGGAGCCCAGGGACTTATCATATGACCCACAGGCAAGGGTGTGGAGTGAGAGGCCAAACTGCAGAGATTGGAGTCACTGGGAAGTGACTAGGGAAAACCAGTCACTAGGTTTTCCGCTAGGGAAAACCATCAAAAGCCCAGAAGGGGACAGAGAGTAGATCTCCCCTCCTCATTAACCTGCGGTGGCTTCCCCTGAGTCTGGAATTTAGCACAAGTCCGAGCCTTTTGTGGCATCAGCTCTCGCTTCTCACTTACCATCTTCTACTTCTGGCTCCTCTCCTCTGTGTCCTCTGACTCCCTCCCTCCTTTGGGGCTGGTGCCTCAACTTGAGAGGCCCCGCCATAGGATGGCTCAGAAGCAGCCTTCTGCCTCGACCTCCCCGTTTGACCTGAACTGGCCTGACCCAGAGTGCAGAGCTGAGTTGGACTGGTTGATGGCTGGCAGCTTGGAGACTGCAGGACGCGTCCTCAGGTGCTGGGAGATGTCGTCTCCACATCTAGACCCTGGGCCCCAGGAGATGGAACCAGGTCTGTCTTGTCTATGCCACAGCTTTGTCCATACTAGAGGCCGATGCTTGGTACGGCACCTGCGGTAAAATACAGCTTCCAGATGCGTTCTGGTGATCCAAACAGTGTTTTTCTCGTGTTTGCATTTGTTGCCAGTGTTGGAAAACAACATACGATTTCATAGACGAGTTCTGATTTTTGGATCCTCTTGAAGAATCAGACGTGGCCTTCCCAGGCCAGGGCCAAAGAATCACCACCTTCTTTAGGGCACCTGCCCTCCAGCTCACCGGGGGCCTCCCCTGGCCTGCTCACTCCTTTACGGGACCTGCCAGCCCCTCCTATAGGCATCTGGCTTTGCAAGCCCAGGGCGGAGACCAGAAAATGTTTGCCCAGAGCGTGACCTCCATCTGTGTGTGTTTTGCACACATGGGTGTTCCTTGCCTCCGCCATGGCCAAATTAGGACAGCACAGAGCAGTGTCCCTCTGGGGGTAAGTGGGAAGGTGAACCCGAATCCCTGAAGCCAGAGCATTCCAGCCCGGCCCCACTTTTACTCTGGGCTCCATCCTGTGACCCCTCATTGTGCTAGAAGGAGGCAACCACCAAAAACTTGTTTTTAATTGTCCCACTTGCTCAGGAGCAAAAGTCCGAGGCCCTAGGCCCAGGCATTGCTGAGGACTCTTGGGGGAGGGCTGCTGTCTGGGCCTCAGTTTACCCATGTGTCCAGAAAGGAATTGGACTTGAGGTTCTCTCACTGTAAGCTTCCTCCTTGCTCTGACTTTCTAGGACTGAGTTCAAGCTGCTCTTAAGTTTTGGTCAGGCAGGAGAGACAGGGGCCTAGACGCAGAAGTCACTCAAAATTATTGACATTCCCTAAACATTCATGAACCAACGGGTGTTGCCAAGCAGCTGGGCTGGGGGCCAGGGGCCAGCACTGGGCCCCAGCCACAGGGCATGGCCCTGGAAGGAAGTGTGCCATCTTCCTGGATAAAGATCCATAGCAGCCCGAGGTCAAGGGATATCGCAGAGCACCCTGCTGGAGATCACAGGCTCTGGGCTCTGTGGGTTTCCCACTTAGCTGCTTGTGACCTTGAGTCTGTTACTTACCCTCCATGTGCTTCAGTTTACTTCTGTGGAAAACAAAGATAATACCTACCTCAAGGTCATCAGAGGGTTAAGTGAGCTACAGCATTAAGAGGGCTTAGGAAAGGGTCTGGCATGTGAAAAGTGCTCTTCTTATTTTTTTTTCTTTTTTTTTCTTTTTTTTTTTTTAAAGATTTTATTTATTTATTTGACAGACAGAGATCACAAGTAGGCAGAGAGGCAGGCAGAGAGAGAGGAGGAAGCAGGCTCCCTGCTGAGCAGAGAGCCCGATGCGGGGCTCGATCCCAGGACCCTGGTATCATGACCTGAGCTGAAGGCAGAGGCTTTAACCCACTGAGCCACCCAGGCGCCCCAAAAGTGCTCTTTTTAAAAGGGAAATTGGCAAGTGGATGACTGCGCCTTGGTGGTAACGCCACTCCGGTGTCCCCATAGCCGGTCCTTGGAGCCCACACGGCTTCTGCTGTCCCCACGAAAGGGGAAGAGAGTGTCTGAGGGCCCGTACTTTGTGGTGCTTAAGAGAGTGAAGCATAACCCCGCCGAGGGAGGGGGTGGGTGGCGTGGGGTTCTAGCCTGAGAAGGCCCTTCCAGAACCTTGCGCTGTGGCTCTTGGGGTGGGATCTAAGGCAGCTTAGCCATCGTTCTGTAGTTGAGGCCCTCCTTCTGCCCACCTCTGCTTTCTAGGTGAGGCACCTGCCTCTGTCTGCTGAGCGAGTTCCCAAGGCTTTCTGCCCCAGGTGGTTGGGCATCAGGCCAGAGTCAGGACCAGCATCTCCAACAAATCCTGAGTCTCTCCCAAACCACCCACTCCCTCCCCTGCTCCCTGGACCCCCTTTCTGGCTGCAGAAACCACAGCAGTAGGTCTGAAGGGTCCAGTCAGAGCCCCTCCTCACTCCCTGCCATAGCTGGGCCACAGTCCAGAGAGAGAACAGGTCTGGATTCCCAACTCAGCCCCCACTTGGGGAACCGGGGAATATTGGGGTTGGGTGGAAGCGGTGGAACGTTTTCCAATGTCAAGTGCTCCATGCCGGACCCTGGGGCTCTACCTTCTCACTTAGTGCTGAGAACAGCCCTACGTGAACCCAGAGGGAGGATTCTCACTGCCCACCTCTGGGAGCCACCAAAGTGGAACTGGCATGGAACTCCCTGGGTTCAAATCTGCCCTGTACCGTTCCCTGGCTATGTGACCTTGGACAATGCAGCTGTCCTGTGCCTCAGTTTCTTCTGATGTGGTATGGGGGTGATAATAGCTCCTTCATTCTCAAGTTATGGTGAGGACTAAATGAGCCTGTTACAAGTAAAGCCTGTCAGCTGTGCCGCTACTTCAGTGTCTGCTCTGTCACTTCTGCCACACCCTGCGGGGTATGCAAATGAGCTGGTCCCAGAGGGAGGAAGCCACAGTGATTCCCCCACTGCACCAGCTCTCCTTCCCTGCGACTTTAGCCACAGAATGTTCCAACTGCCTCTGGTTGTTGGGATGGCCCTGAGGGACCTCAGTGGGGTCTGGACAGGACAGAGCCTCCTCATCCTCCTGGTCAGGCCCTAGAGAGGCTGCACAAATCCCCACTCCAGGATAGCTCCCCTGAGTCTGCCCAACCGTTCCCATGGGATGGCTTCCCCTTCCCTAGCTAAAGCCCACTGCCCTGCAGGGAGATCTTCCTATCCT